CAGGCAGAGATACTGCCTTTGGAAATGAACTTGGAGGGACCAGTGTTAAGTTTTGAACCTATGCCACCCCAGAGACAGAGGTGATATAGGGGAGAACATGACCACAAGATACAGAAAGAATTTGTTTGTACTTTGTTCTTGATATATCTTCAAAGTAAATAACTCCTTGTAAAAGCTTATCAATATTAAGTGGTTAAATGGACCTGGGGTACTAGTGACCCTCCTCTAACAGTGGAGGAAACACACCTGTGGAGCTTGAGTCAATGGAACAGAAAAGAGACACCCCAATCCTTCAGTGTTGTTCCCTTGACACCCTCAGGGGCATACATAGCACCATGGACCAGAGTATGCCCCACTACATCTAAAATTGAAGGGAGATTCTTACCTCTAAGGAAAAAACTATGTTTGTTGTTCAGTCATTTTTCAGTTGTGTCCAACTCTGTGACCCCATTTGGGGTTTTCTTGGCAAGGATACTGGAGTGGTTTGCCATTTTCTTCTCTAGCTCATTTGACAAATGAGGAAACTGAGGCAAACAGGGTTAGGTGACTTGCCCAGAGTCACACATCTATTAGGTGTCTGAGACCAGATTTGAACTCAGGAAGATGAATCTTTCTGACTCTAGGTCCAGCACTCTATCTACTGTGTGTGGTTAATTGGTAAAATATTACACATTTGGGAGAACTGACTCTAGTATCCCAGGCAATTTTTTAAGACAGTTATTATTATTAGTAGTAGTATTATTATTATTATTGCTATCATTAAAGACTAATAGCTATCATTTATATAGTGCTTTAGAATTTACAAAGTGCTTTACAAATACTATTTCATTTTATGCAGAAACAACCTTCTGAGTTAGTTATTATTATCCCTATTTTATAGATGAAGAAACTGAGGCAGATGAAGATTAAATGAGTCAAGGTCACACAACTAGTAAGCATTTGAGACTGGATTTGAACTATCACCCCAAACCATATCTAGCCAATACCAGCCACTCAGTCATGCTTCCCCACCATCTTCCTGATATGCCACCTTTTGAATACACTTTGATCTTCTCTTTCCACCTCTATCTCTGATAACAGTTCTCAAATCAACACTACCATTGCTTCCGGGAAGGGCATGTAAATATATTGTCCTATGACTCCATTCACCACCTTCCTAGACCAAAACACTCCACATTGGCCACCACTCCCTTATTAGAATATAAGCTCCTTGAAGTCAAGGATTCTCTGTTTTGTATTTGTATCTTTATTACTTAAGAGAATGACTGGCATACAATAAATACTTAATAAATGCTTTTTATTCATGCATGCATTACTACCTATTGTAATAGTAATATTAATAAGTGAAATTCATATAGCACTTTAAATTTTGCAAAATACTTTATATATTCTTTTAATTGAGCCTCACAACTACCCCATGAGGTAAGTGGTACAGATATTATTATCCCCATTTCACAGATGAGGAAACAAAATAGAAGTTAAGTAATTTACTTGTGCCTACACAGTTAGCAAATATCAGAGAAAGTACTTGAACACAGATTTCCCAGACTATGGTATCCTACCCACAATACCGTGCTAGAAATAAAACAATAACAGCTTACTTTTCTCTAATGTTCTCTAGTTTACAAATCACTGTTCTCACCCTGTGAGACAGGGCAAAGATCATTGTCCTAAATTTAGTTGGCAAAGCAGGCAGCTAGGTGACAGGGCACTAGACCTTGAGTTAGGAGGACGAGTTCAAATCCTGCCTCAGACACTTACTAGCTGTGTGACTCTGGGCAGGTCATTGAATCTCTCTCAGCCTTGGTTTTCTCATCTGTAAAATGAGGATAATAATAGCTTCTTACTTCACAGAGTTATTGTGAGGATCAAATGAGATAATATATGGAAAGTGCTTCGCAAACATTAAAGCAATATATAAATGCCTGCTATTGTTGTTATGGGCAGCTATGTGGCACAGTGGATAGAGTGCCTGAAGCCAGGAAGACTCTCTGAGTTCAAATCTAGCTTCAGACACTTACTAGCTGTGTGACCCTGGGCAAGTTAATTAACTGTGTTTGCCTCAGTTTCCTCAACTGTAAAATGAGTTGGAGAAGGAAATGGCAAACCACTCCCGTATCTTTGCCAAGAAAACCCCAAAATGGGGTCACAGAGAGTTGGAGATGACTGAACAACAACAATATTATCGCTACAAATGAGAAAATTGAAACTCAGCAAGGTCAAAGTCACTTGTCTAAAGTTACACAACCTGTCAGTGGCAAAGTTAGAGACTATACCCAGGATTCTGAATCCAGATTTTTGTGGCTCTAAATCCAGTGCCTGTTTCAGCATGTTAGGCTGCACAAGCTGCAAGCAGGTGAGTGGCCCTGGCACCTCAGGGAGATGATGTCCATAGAAGATTTTATCCCCAGCCTGCAGCCCTGAGTTCTGGCTCATGGCCCAAACAACTTTTTCCTGCAGCTATGGGCAAGAAATGTGGTCATGGCAACTTCTTGGACCACTGGTCTTAGAAAGAGCCAAAAAGGGCCCAGTTTCCTCCTCCACACACACACATAGCAATCACCACCATTCCTGCCCAGCACACACAGACTGACAGGAAGGTGATAGGGTAGGGCCTGTCAAGTTTCCTTATCTGGACTCCAAAATGCCCACAGCACCAAACCGTCATCTGGGAGACCTAGTCCCTCCCACCTGGCAACGATCGTCAGGAACAGAAAGATATCTACCCAACCAAGTTCAAAAGCAAGAACCAAGAAACTTCTCCTCTGTCACAAGGAGTTTTCCACAACTTGAATCCTAGAACCAGAGGATTAGTCCATGAGGAGAATGTGTGAGTCACACCTCTCATTTGTGCCAGGAGTTCGTAGACTGAGTTCTAAGAGTTGTATCCCTTGTTTTTTATTGTGAGCTACAGTAGAAAGAGCTGATTACAGAGTGGCATATTTAGGTTTGATGGAGGTGGGGGGGGGGCACACTGCAGAGGAGCAAATCCTCATAGTTAAAACCATCCAAAAGTAGAATGTATGACTTGCCTTAGGCGGTAGGGCCTTTCCCCACACTGGAGATCTTGAAGGAAAAGCTTGATAGCCACTTGTCAGGGATGTTTGAGGAATTCATGGACGTGTTTTTTGATAGGACCCTTCCAATTCTGATTCTGTAAGCCCCAGACCTAGGTTGGAGTCCTAACCCTGACACTTCTGCAATGTTCGCCCATGAGCAAATCACTTCACCCTCTAAGTCTCAGTTTTCTCATCTGTAAAATGGGAATGATAATCATTGCACTACATATGCCATGGGATTATTGTGGGGAAGCACTCTGGAAACCTTAAAATGCTCACGAAATGGAAGTTACTGTTATTTATGTAACAACAGGCTCTGGAGGAGCTAGTGGCTACAATAATTAAGACCCACAGAGAATGCAGAAGGGCCCTTAGGAATCATCTCTTCTGGCCCTCTCCATTTACAGATAAGGAAACTGAGACCCAGAGAAGTTAAATGACCTGCCCGAGGTCACACAGGCAGAGCTACTAGCAGCCTACCCCAGGTACCCTAATTCTTAATCAAGTGCCCTTCCTGCCACACCACAGCCAATTTCCCCAGGGTTTCTACGTACACTGCAGACATGGGCGTCCCAGTTGGGTGGTGTTGGGTCAGTTGGGGAGGGTGAGGGGGGAGTCTGGAAGGTTCAGAGTTTTCTTCGGGTTTCATAGCAGGTGTGTTTGGGGAATGGGAGGGGAAGAGAGATAAGGACAGTTTCATGGCAATTACTTTCTGATGGTGAAACCAAAGAACTAGAGGGTGAGGAAGGAAACCATCTTGGTCCTGCAAACAACACACAAATAGGACTATATTGTCTTGTATGCAACAGATGGACTTTTGAAAAGGTTTTGTACAAAGAAAACTTTTGCAATTGATTCCTAATTTAAAAGCACGTTTGGGAACCTGCTGATGAAGTCCCTTTCAAAGTCCAAGAGTCACTTGTAAAGTGAAAAATCACATCATCCATCGATAAACTGCTTTTGATATTTATTTTTATTGGCTAGGCAATGGGGTTAAGTGACTTGCCCAGGGTTACATAGCCAGTAAGTATCAAACATCTGAGGCTGGATTTGAACTCTGGTCCTCCTGACTCCAGGGCCAGTGTTCTATCAACTGCACTACCTAGCTGCCCCAGTTTTTAGGGTTTATTTTGTAGATCCATCTGTATAATAAGTTTCCTTAAAAGGGGGTCTGCCTATCAGGCAAACTTAATATGCAGTTCGAATTTTCAGAGCTAGTTTATTTCATGCAATCAGAGCAACCATGCTTGCAATGCAACAGAGGCTATGTGATGAAATGAAAGATTACTAGACTAATCAGACCAGTCCTCCCATTAACTTTCTGGATGAATTTTGGCAGAACCAGGTGATCTTTGTGGATTCTTACATCTCTAAAGTCCTCTGAATTTTTGATCAGTCAACAAGCATTTATTAGGTGCCTGTTATGGTGCTGGACATTGCAGGTCACAAAGACAAAAATAAAACAGTCCCTACCTTTAAAGAGCTCACATGCTGAAGCAGTCATTATATCATTCTTGACCTCAGTTTCTCCATCTATAAAATGAGAGGCTGGACTCTTAACATCTCTCCCAGTTCTGCCATCGTGTGTTCTAAGTTCCCTCCCAGTTCTGGCATCCTGTGATGTGAGGTCCTTTCCAACTCTGTAATTCTGTGTTCTAAGGCCCCCTCCAGCTCACACATTGTATGCTCTAAGGTTCCTTTTTTCTGTTTTGTGATCCTGCATCTACAGCCGTATATTACCTTTATGTTGGCTGTTCCACTTACTCTGAATTGAATTTAGCAGTCTCTTTTGTCCTCATTCACTTCCTGAACCTCAGAAAACCTGCTCTCCAGGCAATCATCTTGTGATTCAGGGGAGGAAACACCTGTTCTTGGCCCTACCCATCTATGACGTACAAACACTGAACTGAAACTCACCATAGCTGGACAAAAACTGAAATACAGTGTTTAGGTGGCCAGAGATTAAACTTCACATATGGCCTTCTTGAGGTAATGTCAGCTTGGGCTTAGAAGGGCTCATACCACCCTAAGTCTTCAATACTATTGGCAAACACCTGGACTATCAGACCTGGCACCTAGGAAGTTGATCACCCATTTGAAGAAGTGAAAATCCCAAAAGAACAAGGTGTATTTATTCAGACAATAGGAAGGTAAGCTTGACTTTCATTCTTGACAAAATTTGAGAATGTATAATTAAAAGGATGGCTTGTGAACATTTAGAAAGGGAAGCGAGGATCACAAAAAAACCAGCATGGATTCAATGAGAGCAAGTCATGTCCAACTAAATTTTGTTTTGACAGGATCATGAGACAAGCAGACCAGTGGAATGCTATAGAAATGGTATTTCTGCATTTCAGGAAGGAATATCACCAAGTGTCTCATGATACCCTTGTAGACAAGAATATTTCCTTAACTCTCCACCCCCTATTAGAATATAAGAGAACAATGATGGTTTTTCATTTTGTCTTTATCTAATCTGAGTATCTATACAGTCCAGTTGCCTGCATGTGGTGGCCATTTAATAAATGCTTGTTGGATTGAATAGGACTGGATTGGAAGACAGAAACATTTAAGCCGGCCCGTAATAAACTTAAGTGAATTCAGAGCTGGTTAAATAATCCAATCCAAAGAATATTGGCCAATGGATTGATAGTGGGGATTGACTAGATCACCTCTTAGGTCCCTTCCAGTTCCAAATCTATAGTACTACAATTAGTCTAAATAGAAGTCTCTAGTGGCATGTTTCTTGGTTCATGGTGGTGCAGTATATAGAATATTGGACTAGGACTCCAGAACACTTGAGTTCAAATCCTGCCTCAGGCACTTACTAGCTATTCATCCCTGGCCAAGTCACTCTACCTCTCTCAGCTTCAGTTTTCTTATCTGCAAAATGGGGATAACAGCACTTACCTGAGGAACAAGTGAGATAATATATGTAAAGCATTTGGCAAATCTTAAAGCGCTTTATAAATGCTAGCTAGGATCCAATGAGATAGTATTTGTAAAATGCTAAGCACAGTACTTGGTACCTAGTAGGTTTTTAATACATGCTTGTTCCCTTTCCCTCACCTTTCCTCCAGGTATCATTATTATATCTATCCTTAGCCTTCTTCTACGCAACATTTTTATCAATGACTTGGATGAAGGCATAGAGTCGCGCTTATCAAATTTGCAAATTACATAAAGCTTGGAGGGATAGCTATCATGTTAGACAACAGAATCGATATCCCAAGAGATCTCAACAGGCAAGAAGCTTGGGTTAAATTTAACTCAGGGGAAATTTAATAACGATCAATGTGAAATATTATATGGGGGTGGGGAGAGAGAAATGAGCAGAGCAGTGTCAATCCCGCTACTAGACTAGATTGAGTCAAAAGACCTGGGTACAAATCCTAGTTCTGCTAATTACCACTCATGGGACCCTTGGCAAGTCTTCTCACCTCTATGGGTCCTTTTCCCCTCTGTAAAATGGTGCAAATGGGGGGGGAGGTGAACTTGAACTAGATGACTTCTAAGTTCCCTTCTAGTTCTAAATCTACGATCCCATAAACAACAGTAGCATTTATATAACACTTTAAGGTTTGCAAAGCACTTTACAAATATTTTCTCATTTGACCCTCACAACAACCCTGTAAGACAGATTATTATCACCATTTTCACAGATGAAGAAACTGAGGCACAGAGAGATTGATTGTCTTATTCAGGATCTCACAGCTAGTAAAAGTGCCTGAGGCCAGATTTGAACTCAGGACTTCCTGACTCCAAGTCAAGTCCAGTGCCCTATTCACTGCACCACCTAACAGCCTGACTTCCCAGGTGTAGGAAGGCTAAGGGTAATGGGATCAGACATCAAGAGGGCATTCACCTTCCAGCAAATGCCCACCAGCTGGTGTTTGGAGATCAATCACTCCCACAAGTCCTGCTATCCCTCCATCATCCCAGGACCCTGGAAGGTGAAGGGCACTGATCAGCTGGTTCTTCCCCAGAATCCACTATGGTTACCTAATTTGCACCCTCTGATTCCTGAATCCCATGATTCAGAGTCAACAGGTGTGGGAAGGGAAAGGAGCACCCCTACCCTGCTCCCTCTCCCTATAATCTCATACTCATCCTCCCCAGCCCCTTTTTTTCTTTGCTCTCTCCTTCCACTCGGCTTTCTACACCTCTTTCTCTCCTCTTTGTTCTTTCCATTGTTTTGTGCTTATGGGAAACCCTGCACCCCTGGGCACTATCTCCAGCGCAGATGACTTCTCTCATACCTCCCAGCATACTAGGCTTAGAGGAAGTGTCAGCATCCTCCTCACTCCCTCTGCCCCCTCCCAGGCCCCGACTCTGTCCCCTCCCAGGTCCTCCCACTGCCATCATCACTTAGCAAACAATCTTCCTTCAAAGTTCACTCAAGAATGAGGATTGGCTTCTCTATCATCCAGTTCAGATATTTGTAATCTACTGGCCTTCAAGTCCTTTCCTTGGGGAGTTCAGTAGCTGGCTTAGAGTTCCCCCTTTACCTTAATGCTTGTGGTATGGGGTGAAGCCTTGGTTTGAATCCTGCCTCACATACTAGCTGTGTGACTTTACCCCTCAGAGTCTTAGTTTTCTCATCTACAAAACGGGAAGAAGACTTATATGACCTAGCTCATATAGTTGTAGGGAAGAAAGCTCTCTACAAACCTTAAACTGCTAGATAAATGTGAGTTATTATTATTGAAGGTCTGAATATTCACACTGATGTCCTTTTGAATACTGTGACCTCCCAGTTCTTTAACTTCCTCAGCTTCTATAACTTAAATCTTCCTTCAAGTCAAGTCAAGTTAACCAGCATTTATTAAGCGCCTCCTCTGTGCCAGGCACTGTGCTAAGTGCTGGGGATATATAAAAAAGAAAAAAAAGAGCCAAAAAGCCAGTCCCTGTCCTCAAGGAGCTCACCATCTAAAGGAAGACACAAAAACAATTACATAAGTACACAGATGCATACAGGCTAGATTGGAGGTAATCTCAGAAGGAAGGCCCTAGCATGGGGGTGTGGAGGGCAGAGCAGAAAGACTGAGATAGCTGTACTTCAGTTACCCCTGGGATAATAAGAGTTTAAGACTCTCCATCACACATAACTGTCCCTTTTACCTAAAGGAGAATTCTTGAAATTCTCCTCTAATCATCATTTTCAAACCTTCCATTTCTCCATTTGCTTCATTCCTCCTAAATCCTTCTCTTCACCATAACTTCCATTTCCTCCATCCTCCTTGGTCTCCCAACCCATCACCTCTACTTTGGACTCTCTCTTTCTCTTTGCAATCTTGTCCTTAAGGATAACCAATTCATTGTCCTTTACTCCTGTCTCCCTTGGCCTTGTACTTTCATCATTCACCCCTTGCCAATCCTCAATTCTGAATCACCCTCACCATCTATTTTTCTGTTTCTGCTCCTATGCTGCTGAATGCCAGGAATGGAGGAAATCATAAAACCATGTCATCTGGATTCATTACAAACGCGTGTTCTCTAAGCAAAATGAGGCCTTTACTGCTATACCACAACTCTCTTCTTCCTTAATTTTTCCATATCTCACACCTCTCAGTGGCAGTTCTAAATCTGAAGTCCCCAGTGCCACCTCACCTCACCCCAGCAGATACTTTCACCTCCTACTATAAATATTATAACATAATATAGTATAATAATATCTTTGAAAATATTGAAACTGTTTATCACTAGTTCCCTCTTTTCTCTTATTTCATACCTCAAAATCCTTCTACATCTTCACTTGTTTTCTCTCCTTTTGCTCCAGCTCCCTAAGAAAAAATCATCCTCCCCAACCACCATTACCCATTGTCTCACCCCCATTCTTCTCAATCCCATCCCTTCCATGTCCTACTCCAACTCTGGCTGTTGCTTCCATTGTGCCTTTTGGAATTCCTGTTCGACAACAAACTTCCATTTATTTTCCTCTTTCTTTCATGCTTCTAATATCACCTTCTAACACCCACAGAGCTTTCCCCAGATGGCATTGCATCCTTAACCATCTTCTCTATCTCTAGTTATACCTTCACTCACACCTCCACACACCTCCCCCAACACTCATCCCAGAAGAGATGTTGGAATATTCCTTGCTCCCAATTACCATTTCCATACTCTACCTTCACTACCATCACTCAGCATCTTCTCCTGCTATCACCCAACCCATATTATGGTGGCTGTTGTCTACTAATCCCAGGTCATTCTCCTTTTCTCAAGGAATTCAGCACCTAACCTACTGTCTCCTTTGCCTCCTCAACTGCTGCCCTTTTATTAGGGGAATTCAACATTCATGTTGATACCCCCTCAAATTTCCTAAACTCTTAGTTCTTCAATCTCCTTCAGTCCCATGATCTGGTCTTCTACTTCACTTCAGCTAGGTCTTCGAATTGGGGCAAATGACCCCTTAACAACAATTAGAGATAAAATTCCTCTTCCTCTACAAATTGGGCTGAATGATCTCTGATTTCCCTTTCAGCTGTGATATTCTATGCTTCTATGAAGCCACCTTAGGTGATACCCTATTCTGAACAGCAGCATTGAGTCCCAGGTCAGTGTCCCCTCACCACTCCAGCCCAGGAAAGTGTCTTTTAGAAGGACACTAAAAAACAGCTTGTGGATCTCACCTCTTCAAGTTTCAATTCAATTGAATAAATATTCATTAAGCACATACTGTATGTAAGAAATATAGAATCCCAGAGTTCTCATATTGGAATGTCAAAGAAATAAGTCTTTATTTATTCTATCTAGACCATTCTTGTTGACCTAGATTTTGGTCTTGTCCAGAACCTCAACCACTACCCCCCAAGTACAAGAGGCATCAAGCTTTTTTTTTCCTATCCCCTTTATCACCTCAAGCTGATGGGGGATGGGATTTGTGTTGAACCTCTAAAAGGAAAAGTCCATGTCTTTGGGACCTGGACCCCAAAGCCCCTGAACCCAGATCCCTGGCATTTGCCTGAGGCATTGGGCTCATCCCAGTATAATCCTTTCAATTGTCCTTTCGTTGTAGGCTCCCACCCAACCCTACAGTTTCTGTTACCTCTGAACCACCCCAGGCTACTTCCTACTCCTTAATCCCATCCAGACCCCCTTTTCTGTTACCTCCAGACCACCCCAGACTACTTGCCATTCCTAGATCCCA